AGGTCATCCACCATGTATTCTGGCTCTCATTAGGAGGAAAAGGCTATTCACATATTTGCAGAGCAAAAATAAGGCTATTAGTTTGAACTGGCCAAGAGTCAGCCAGCCATTTTTAATTGCTGTATTTCTCAGATAAAACTAAATGAAACAAAAGTTTTTCCACAACTCTTGTCAAAGTGTCTGCATTTACATTTAGAAAAAGCCATTGTCTTCAGGATGCAGTGGGTTGGTGATGCCACAGTCTTTCTCCATTACTGCATATATAGTTTTAAAGCCCCTAAAAACTTTAAATCAAAGGGTACAACTTTATTAATGAGTGAATATGCAACAATCTGCGATGGACTGGCGACCTGTCCAGGGTGTACCCCGGCTTTCGTCCAATGTCAGCTGGGATTAGCTCCAGCCCCCCGCAACCCTGTACGCAGGATAAGTGGTTGATGATGGATGGATGGATGGATATGCAACAATAAAAGTTTTTATTTATTCAGACAGTTTTTTATTTATTTAGAGTTTAGCAGTCAAAATCTCGTATAATTAGCTTAACCCGGACTGTGTGGATGTGGTGTGATTACATTTGATTGACAGTGACCAAACAATCCACCAACTTTCTTCAGATTCAAAAGTTACTAAATCCTGATCAATGCACAAATAGTAGGTGACATCACCTTTTTCTAAGTAAGTACCGCCCACTTGAAACCAGTGAGAAGAGATGAGAGAAAAAAAAATCTCTCATGTGAAATAACCAAAACATGTAAAGTGTGTGTCCAATTGGGATCCCTTCACTCATGGTGAGAAGTTGATCAAGAAAAAAAAATGTCAGGGCCTTTAAGTGATACAGTGGTAAAATGTACGTAACACACCTCGTTACAAAACCATTCAAACATTGCCAACCCCACAGAAACACTTCTAATTCTGCTCAACACATAGGCTTTGTCACCGACAGCTGAAAACAAGAAAGAGGTTAAGGTACGGGCTTGTTCTTGTCACACACCAGCAGGCAGCTGATGTGTAACACTGTGCACTAAATTGGAATATATGCAGATTAGCTCTTATCTAATAACGGCTGGATTTGGAAAAGCTGCACATTTTGATCATGCAAAGTAAAACGTTTTTTTAACATCATCCCCAGCAAATGATTTTTAACAAAACACCATCTTCCATTGCCATCATGGCACTTCTTGCAACAGTGTGTTTAAAACCTCCGTTAGTCAATGATTGGAAATACTTTGCTGATCTTCTGTAACCCATTTCATAAAAATAGCCTGGGCAAAATCTGATGGGCGGGTGGGGATGGGATTGATTTATTAATCTAATCAGACCAATGTAGGACACGAGATGCATTTGTCCTTCTCTCTGAATCAGCTTGGAAAGCACTTGAGGTCATTCTCCGAGAAGATCAGCCAATCACTTCAGACAATCTTCTCTAATTTTCCATCTTCTTTTATAATCTCAACAATCAGAGACAGGGCAGGGAAAACCGCCTCAGCTTTGATGTTGGCTTTGTTCTTCTATTCCCCCCCACAAATTTGCGACTTCCTCGCTAAAAATCTATGTAATGTTATTTTGCTGTTACAATATTGATTTCTGATTTTTTTTAAAACAAACAATCCTCATGAAAGACGTGCTATGATTTTCTCCCTGGAAAAGATTAGGTTTTTACACAGCATGCTCGCTGGATGCTGAAGCACTAACAGACTCTCCTCCATGCTTGGCATGTAACGTGAAACCATGTGGTGGATGAGCAGAGCTGCATCTAAAAACCAGTGATTCCATGGGGTACAGCAATTGGGTCAAAATATGGAGCCTCCAAAGGACAGATGAGATTGTCAGCATCTTGTGGTAATCAAAGGACATTACAACTGTTATACAATGAGTAGAAGAAGCAGCAGCATTTAACCACAAACTGAACCCTAAAAAGCATCTTATATAAGGAGGATGATACCTCTTACAGCCACACACAGTAAGATGATGAAATATTACAAACACAATTTTAATCGTTTAGGTACTCTTTAAAAGCAAATTTAAATATTGTTCCAGTGAGGTCTGTTGGTTTTTTCTTTCTCAGCTGAAGCGAGACCTTATTAGTTGTCGCTGTAGTCAAAAATAGCATTAGAACAGGAGTGCTTTGTGGAACGGCTCCTGGAGATTGATGATTGATTACTACACAATTACTGCTGAAAGCAGCAGGGCCCCTCCTCCTAATCACTGCTTTCATCGCTAAAAGGAGATTATCACATAGGAGAAGCTTGTTAGTGCCACTTCCTCCCTGCAAATCAATAAAAATTACTCAAGAGATTGCAAGCATACATCAGAAATGTCAGTTAAATCTCAGTTAAATCCCTAGGCTGGCTCTACACATTTGAAGACAGGTACTGTACATTATTCTATGTGTGTGTGTGGGTGTGTGCCTCCTGTGGCGGTAGATCTGACCCCTACTGAGATACTAGCCTCAAACCATGTCTAATTAAAGCTTCTTTTCAATGCCTGCGCTCTGGAAATTCAGATCCCCTCTACAATTAAGTGCAGGATTTCTCTTCTGGCCTCCAGCGAGAAGAAAAGGCACATCCGAGAGATTATCCCCCTCTCTCTCCCAAACTCTGCCTCTACCCATTATTGGATTCACTTAGTTGACAGAGCCCCATTTATTGAGCAGGGAGGGACAGGTAGGCCAGGCGTACAATCAAGCACGCAGGAGACATTTAGAGAGAAATAGGACAGAAAATGTATAGCATCATATTCAAAGTCGAGGCACGAAAGTGTTAAAAGCTTGGTTAGAGAGTCCTTGAAAGGTGATCCTGGAGAGCATCAACAAAATAGGTAAAAATGTCAGCTTTTGTTTGAGGACACAAAAATTTTACAATTTATTGTATTAAATAAAGGTATTTACATCAATGAGATGTCAACTATCAGTAACATCAGTGATATATGGGAGTGCCAGCATGAGTGGACAATGGTGTGCCTGCTAAAAGAAAAGAAGAAACAAAGCAACCAAACCAGGAGACCATGGGGGAGTTGAGAGAGAGCAAGGCAGACTGAACTTGCTTAAATACCTCAGGTTTCTAAAGACCCTATCAACATTTAAGAGAAAAACAGGAACACTTACAAATCTTTAAAACAAATTCCTTAGGGCTTAATTGAATAACGTGAGGGAAATAGATGGCATATAATTTGTTCCTTGGTCTCTGAAGACCCAAGTTATGCATTTAAATTCTTAAGACAGCCACAGTTCTAGATCTTAAATGAGCCCATGCTTTATATAATCGAGAACTGTGCAACTTCCATGGTGAGAAGCTCTGATCACGTACTATTTTCGAGGACCACAGTGAGCCACAGATAGCCACAGATAAGGCCTCCATTAGAGCTAGTATTTTAAAGCATATTTAAAGCATCTCACCCCTTAATGGGCTCCTCTGGCCCAGTCACAGACCCACTATCTTATCCTCACAGGCCCAGTTAACCAGCCTGGATTTTGCTTACTACAGGTGTGAGACTGTCTGAAACGGCAGTCAGGGCCCCTGCTGAGTGTGGTGAGGCGCTGATGTGTTGTCAGCTCCACAACAACAGCTATTAATACCTCTGCAATGGCTACCTTGGAGTGGTTTACAAATATGCAAGTATAAAGCGAGGGAAGTAATGGAAATGACAATATACATTGTCATTCTTGATATACTTCAAGAGTGTAATATTAATACTTTCTATGTGTTCCTGTTGAATTTAAACTGCTTTTCTGCATGTGCCATAAACCAAATAATAATGCAGTTTTTCACTTTAGGATTATAAGAAATATAATTTTATAATAAAGTAGTGCTAAAATGATTTGAAGTTACATGCCACAAAAACTGAAGCTAGCTCGACTAGCTGAGGTGGAAGTACTGCAACCCAAAGGTCAGCTGCCTCCATCTGGTGTAGCTTTTAATGCGTGTAGTGGGCATAGTTGCCCCCCACCTGAAGGCGCCCCACTTAGAAAAAAGGCCAAGAAAGTGGATTGTTTGGCAGCTAAAATCGAAACACTAGCCTCATCCATCCATCCATCTCATCATCAACCACTTATCCTGTGTACAGGGTCGTGGGTGGGCTGGAGCCAATCCCAGCTGACATCGGGCAAAAAGGCGGGGTACACCCTGGACAGGTCGCCAGTCCATCATAGGGCCACACATAGACAACAAACCAGTCACACTCACACCTAAGGACAATTTAGAGACGCCAATTAACCTAGCCTGCATGTCATGGGATGGTTGGAGGAAACCGGAGCACCCGAAGAGAACCCACGCGGACACAGGGAGAACATGCAAACTCCACAGAGAAAGGCCTGGGACGACCAAACGCCCTTCACCCCGAACCTGAATCTCACTCGGAATCTTGGCATGATGATGTGGGCTTACACGCGTTATGTCCTATGTTGTCCCAGGTAATAAGTGACTTTGTTGATATTAAATACTCGACCTGAGACACTGTTTCTGGGAGTCATCCTGCAGTTATAGTACCGTAGTTTCATACATAACTCTCTTTCTTTTCTTTCTGTCTTATATCACTGTAAACTAAATATCTTGGGGGTTTGGAGTGATCGGACAAAACAGCCAGTTTGGAGAGGTCACCCTAAGCTGTTAAGCAATTAAAGTAACCATTAGTTTCCGCCCTATAATATTCACCAAAGTGTTAGATAGTTAGATATTCCCTGTTCTCTATCTCCATTGCCCTCTATTGGCACTGTAGATCTCCTTTTTCCAGTGTGCCATTCAGGAAGAGTAATTTTGCCTCTCAGATTTGAACAAAGCCTTGCTTAAATGTACAGAATAATGAGCCATGTCAGAAGTACCTTTATCAGCCGACAATGGCAGGCACCTTTACAAATACTGGAAAAAAGAGGAAGGAAACATCCATTACACTGTAGTTCTTATGGCATCCTGTGTACATGTGTAGTTCACCATGGCAGAGAGGCTGCAATTTACTATCTTTAAAAGCCCACACACTGAAACCCTGGTAATGAGATGTACGGGGTCTTAAAAGCTTCAAGAACAAGGTTTATTAAACAACTGATATATTGGTGTGATGTAGTGTTCACATTTTCATCAGTTGCTTGACAGTGGAATTAATGCTAAATCTACATTTGTTTGTTTTTTTTCTACAAAAAAGGCAAAATGTACAAACAGGTAACATCACTTTTCAACCAGTACATTGAAACATTACATTCCTATTTTAACACCATGCACTTTAACATAATGAAAAACAATAAATGTGTGTGTGTGTAATACAAAAGAGGTGAATTTTAGTCTGAATGCCAAGCAAGCACTTGGCAAAGATTCAGTATTCAAGCAGCATTAATAGTATTTCACCATTAGTTGCTCCCTCATGTATGCTCACCTAAGGTCCTTTAGGTAGTCTGAGAATTGGTTTCATGGGGCCGATGATGACTTCCAAAACACACCGCAATTTCAAAACCCAAGGTAAGCACTGGTTTTTATTACCACGATTCCAAATAAAACACTGCAATACCTCGTGATCGGTTTACCATTCAATGTCTTTTCTCTGAGGAGTGTTCAAGTTTTACAGTATCTTAGAAAAATAATTGGTTCTGTATGTACAACAACAACAACAATGGTGATAGAAACATGTTAACAGCATTATGTACAATAACATTTGTTGCCTGATCAACAGAGTAGTGAAAAGTCACATTTGCTGACGGGTGAGAACTGATATACTGAATATTGACTTTACTGTAACTAAGTATTTGAATAAGCATTAATATGAAGGTGACATATTCATGAGATATGTTTTTTTGTAGTTTTTAAAAAAAATCTAAATGAAAAAAAGACAACATTTTCCTTTTTCAACACCAAAATAAATAAATCATCTCAAAACCAATGAACAAAAAACAAATCAACTTTCTAAAGGCACACATAACTATTGGGCTCCAAGACATCATGATTTCTCAAGATATTAAAAAGAATTTAGCAATATCTTTGTAGCAGGACTAGGACATAGCCATGATAACACAGAGCAGTTGAAGTGTTTCAGAATATAGTTGTTATCATTTAGGTGGAAACTCTTACATTCATTTAAAATCAATTAAATCTACTCAGAGCAAAGTCTCAATTACTTGCTACTCGTTTCGCGCAGCCTCTTCTTTCATTTCTTCAACCTATTAAAAATAAAATATAAATGAATATTATGTGATTAATCAACTCAAAGGGAAGGAAGTGATAGCTGCACTCTTGTCTTACACTGTAGTCTTTTTTAGATGGTTATTATTACAGTTTATAGTTGGTTTTCCAAACATCTCCAGAAATCCACCTTAACAACTAGAGCCCAACCAATAAATTGTCCAATATTATCTTATCACATATAAATTATTATCTGCCTATATGTCTGGCAATGATTAATACATATTTTGTTCACAATTTACAAGGGATCCTTCTTAAAAGTGTGGTTAATGTTATTTGTTCATTTTAAAGTTGAACTGAAATAGCATCAGTTTTGCTGAGAAATTTGTATATACTGCATATCCTTTATGTTTGTCTTAACTTGTGTGTTTATTTGGTTTCTATTTACCAAAAACTGGGCCCATGAAAAAGAGACAGCTAATGCTAGCTAGACCCCCTCCTTAGCATAATGTGGGAAGAACACACCACTGAGCAGGTGTTGATTCAGCCAATGTTGAAATAACATCCAGTGGGAATTAGTTTTAACGTTAGCAAGTTAGGCTAACTAGCTTCCACTTTCTGAGTGGAATACAAACTTTGTGTTAAGTTTTTATTACCTTTACATGAAAGGGGTACAGGGACAGTTTGCTTCAGGTTGACAGCCAACACTATGTGGGCTTGTTCTAAAGTGAAAAAATCAAAAGTCAGTCAACTGCTGGTATGGGAAATGCCCACCCACAGGCAAAATGGAAAAATATACCCAATAGTGGCAGCATCATTATTATAGTTTATATTTTCTGGCATCAAAAGTGATGAGAATTCAAATTTCAGTTCAACTTCAAAACCAAAATTCAGTATAGATACAGTGTGATTATCTGATTTTTCAACTCTCATATATCAACATCGTTATCTGCTTTCTTGGTCGGTCTCTTAACATCACGTCATTTGAATGTTACTCAGATACTGATATGAAAAGAGGATCAGCAGCAGTCATAACAACAGTCTTGTTTTTTAGACTACCTACAGTGGACACAAATGCACTGCATGTACATAGCAAGAGGAAAGTCATGTACAGTGCAAACCATCGCAGAGACGTGCAATTATCTTGTTATAGATCCTTTTTAATTGTTTGTCCAGCAGCTAAGCAGCAGTCTGAGCAGCACAGTGGATGCACGGTTAGCGGTTGTTTGACACAGCATGAACGCTTTGTTTTCAAAGTTGTCCATGCAAAGACCTCACACATCGTTCTTCCTCCTTGGACACGATGAGGTCCCTAAAGCCACAGCTCGTCATGTCACCTGAAGGTGCAGGTGCAGCTTCTCTCTAATCTTTCCAAAATGGAAGACACAACGCTGCTGCCTGGATCTCTGTTACAGGAAGAGGCGCATGATGTGTGTGGTAAAGCCACCTGGTGAAGGCATGGAGAGCCATGACTGGTAGGATGAGAAAATAGTGGTTGGGGGAGAGGGGGGGGGAGGTGGAATCAGACGCTCAGAGTCATGTTACGAAGCAGCCACTGCTGAGAGCGGCTGCCGTTGCAGTCTCTCAGGGTAGGGACCATCTTGTCCTCCTCAGATGGCATGTCCAAACACTGGTTGCTGTTCACATGCATCAGGGTGAGTCGCTGGAGAAAGAAGGACGTAGAGATAGGCAATTACACAGATGTAAACATGTAGAGAGAATGTACAAATACACAAATCAGCACTTTATTACATATCGTCTGTTTTGAGAGTTTTTCTTTTAGAATTTCCCTGAACCTGCCTTCTCAACTGTACTTAAACTCGTTTCTGGAGAAAGTTGAATCCACCTGGATGACGATGAACCTTCACAGACATACTTCAACTATTGATTTCCCACCTTTCACAAAAATACATCTCGACTCAGTAAATGGCCTGAGGTTGTTACACTCCGTAACTGTAGCTGGAGCAAGAAAAAAACAATAGGAACAACAAGAGAGTGGGATGTTCTGGTCAAGAAAAAGTGAGAGTCGTGCCCCTTGTACAACACAACATGCGCTGAGGCTGCTCAGAGAATTGAGGCTCCCATTGGTGGGGAGACTGCTGTTATTGCCACTTTATTCGGAGGGATTTCTCTGTGAATGACTGAAGCATCAAAATGTCAATACAGACAAAGAAACTGCAGCTTTGGCTTATTATTTTTTAATATAAATTTATTAGAACATATATTGTAAAATTGAAATTATGGGCTGTCACTTGCATTAGGCATGATACATAAAGATGATCATATAAGTACCAGACAGTGACATGCAACAGCTTATATTGAAAAATGACTGAATAGATATGTTACAGGTTTCCTGGAAAATTTCAGCTTTAGTTGCAGGTCCTGGTATTGTGCATGCTAGCTCACAGTCACACTGTCATGATTTACTGAGACACTTGAATAAAACAGTAATCGTTAATGTTATTCGTAACACCTCCAGCCGATTGACACAATTCATCCTCTAATTGTTTCAGCAATATCAGTGATAATTAATAAATATCTTAACGGTCTCTAAGATCATGGGAGTATTGTTTTAAGGGCAGATTTAGATTTAAAAAGGTTCTGACCTCAAACATTTCTGTTATTTTTGGAGTTTACTCTGTGCCATGTCCTCACAACAAAATAAGCTCAAATTCATCTCCTGCTCCACTCCACACATAGCCTCCTTTCCCCAACAGTGATGTCTGTTCAAGTACATAAGCCAGAAGACAGAGCAAGCGCTTTTAAAATGTCCAGACTGGAAAAACACACCTGTTGTGATGAGCTGAACTCAAGCACCACATGAGCATGTAGCACAGAAATCTGTGGCTATCTGCCATGAAGGCTTCAGAGATAACACCCCCCACTAACAACTGGAAGAGAACTCTCAATGGCCTTGATTAACCATTTATTTTCATTCGCTCAGAAATAACACGCTTCCGCAATTTCGCTCCTCACTTGAGTTGCTTTTCTGGTCCTAATGATCACATGCAGAGAAGTAGAGAAGCTGAAGTTGGCCTATAAGGAGAAGCCTCTGCGGTTATGTGCTACTAAGACACCATTTTTAACAAATATACATACAGTATCTCACAAAAGTGAGAACACCCCTCACATTTTTGTAAATATTTGATTGTAACTTTTCATGTGACAACACTGAAGAAATGACACTTTGCCACAATGTAAAGTAGTGAGTGTACAGTTTGTGTAACAGTGTAAATTTGCTGTCCCCTCAAAATAACACATCACACAGCCATTAATGTCTAAACTGCTGGTAACAAAAATGAATACAACCCTATGTGAAAATGTCCAAAGTGGGCTCAATTAGCCATATTCCCTTCCTGGTGTCATTTGACTCGTTAGTGTTACAAGGTCTCAGGTCCCAGGTGTGAATGGGGATCAGGTGTGTTAAATTTGGTGTTATCGCTCTCACACTCCTTCATACTGGTCACTGGAAGTTCAACATGGCACCTCATGGCAAAGAACTCTGAGGATCTGAAAAAAGGAATTGTTGCTGTACATAAAGATGGCCTAGGCTATAAGAAGACCCTGAAACTGACCTGCAGCAAGGTGGCCAACAGGACAGGTTCCACTCAGAACAGGCCTCGCCATGGTCGGCCAAAAATGTTGAGTGCACGTGCTCAGTGTCATATCCAGAGGTTGTCTTTGGGAAATAAACAGCATTGCTGCAGAGGTTGAAGGGGTGGGGGGTCAGCCTGTCATTGCTCAGACCATCCGCCGCACACTGCATCAAATTGGTCTGCATGGCTGTCATCCTAGAAGGAAGCCACTTCTAAAGATGATGTACAAGAAAGCCCACAAACAGTTTGTTGAAGACAAGCAGACCACAGGACATGGATTACTGGAAACATGTCCTGTTGTCTGATGAGACCAAGATTGGTCCAGATGTGTCAAGCGTGTGTGGCGGCAACCAGGTGAGGAGTATAAAGACAAGTGTGTCTTGCCTATAGTCAAGTATGGTGGTGGGAGTGTCATGGTCTGGGGCTGCATGAGTGCTGCCGGCACTGGGGAGCTACAGTTCACTGAGGGAACCATGAATGCCAACATGTACTATGACATACTGAAGCAGAGCCTGATCCCCTCCATTCGGAGACTGGGCTGCGGGGCAGTATTCCAACATGATAACGACCCCAAACACACCTCCAAGATGACCACTGCCTTGCTAAAGAAGCTGAGGGTATGTGCCCAGACCTAAACCCTATTGAGTATCTGTGGGGCATCCTCAAACGGAAGGTGGAGGAGCGCATGGTCTCTAACATCCACCAGCTCTGTGATGTCGTCATGGAGGAATGGAAGAGGACTCCAGTGGCAACCAGTGAAGCTCTGGTGAACTCCATGCCCAAGAGGGTTAAGAGGCAGTGCTGGAAAATAATGGTGGCCACACAAAATATTGACACTTTGGGCCCAATTTGGACATTTTCACTTAGGGGTGTATTCACTTTTGTTTCCAGCGGTTTAGACATTAATGGCTGTGTGATGTGTTATTTTGAGGGGACAGGAAATTTATACTGTTATACAAGCTGTACACTCACTACTTTACATTGTAGAAAAGTGTAATTTCTGCAGTGTTGTCGCATGAAAAGATATAATCAAATCAAATTTACAGTATCTCACTTTTAGTATATAATATATGATAACTGATCACTAAATAAGCACTAACCTCACTTTTCCGCAGTCTGCACACTGTTTTCATGGGAGCAATTGTCAAACTAAATAGCACAGCACACATGAAAGAAAATACATGTGAACAACTATAAACGCAGTCTGCATGTAGCATTAAAACATGCTTAGAGGCATGATTTTTTTTGGCATAATTCTTCATTAAAACAAGATTATGCTTTGACTGTTGACAGGGGATATTCAGACTAATGAGCACACAGAGACGCTCAGGCCATGTTTGATCTGAAGCTATAAAACACAAGGGCCTGACATTATCTGCCAGGATACAAAGAAGTGCACACACATACACACACACATACACACATATCTTTGCTGAAGTACACATTGCAGGCCGCCCTACAGCCACATTTGTTCAAACAGAGCAAGAACAAAGAGAGCAGGTGGCGTTTGACCTCACACACCTGCCAAAGAACTAAAAAGAACAATAAGTTAGCTCTATACTAGAGACATTTTACGTTTTCTTCTTTTATTAAAAAATCATTCCTACACTGTTTTAAGTATGAGTAAAGAAACCACAAATAAGTATAATCAACAAATACTCCTCTTTAAATATTCACACATGGAGCTTCTCCGAACTGGAGGTAGATCTAATTCATAAATCATAAGAACCTGGCTTAAGCGAGAATGAGTAAAATATTTTTTCTTTCATTCAAAACAAATAAACCTACTCTAGTGACAGAGATGGAAGTACAATGGCATAGTGTAGAAAAACCGTTACACATTTAATGAAAATACTAGAAATGTGCAGGTCCTGTCCTTTGCTCATAATTATTTCATGATTCCTTTGGGGCAGAGAAAATTCCCATTTCAGTCAGCAAACCAGCAAACCAAACCAGCGTCTCCGGAGTGAGGTGCACAGTGTGTGCACAGCAGAGACCAGCTAATTAAATGAGGACCGTTCCTAACCAAAAGCCCAGGTTGAGGAACATTATTCCCTCTTTGTCACCAAGCAGCACATTTAACTTGCTGAAAGGCACAAGAGTTCCTGTTTGATGTGATCTTCTGCTGACTCGGAAGGAGAGCTAGAGGGTGGGGCTGCTTTTTGTGGGAAATACAAAAAACAGCACATTCCCTTTGTCTCAAGGCAGAGTCAGAAAACACTCATTAGCAAGGTGCTCTTGTGTACGTGTTCTCCTCTTGTGCTAGCTATGCCACAAGGCCCTCTGAACAACAAATCAGGCCATCTAACAGCAGGTCACTGTACTGCCGCAACTCTGACACACACCAGCAGCCCTGGGAGCTCCTTACCCAATTTACTCTGCTTGGACACAAAAACTGTGGCATGCTACAGTGAAATTGCTCTTTAGCTTCTTCAGAGATACAACAGTACAGGACTCTGAGGAGCAAAATCCATATAACTCAGCAGAACAGAATTGGCTACACAGAAAATGACAGACAAAGACTGGAAAAAGCAGGAAAATAAAAACCCTGCAATGGACAGAAATGCTGAGCCAAAAAACATTCCTTACAAAAGTATGTAAATAAGCAGGCCGAGTGGTGAAAAGCACTGATAATTGAGATTTGTTGCTTTTATAATATGTACATGGGACACAGTGTACACAGCTGCTTTAGGCCAATAGGAGAGTGGCCTGAGAGGCCACGGCCATGAAAGGTAGGTTCACAATGAAGGATCACTTCAAAAGAACTTGTAAACAATGGCAAGCCCGTTTCAATCAGCCCGGCACGTAGATAATAAGCTAAAAATAAATGCGTCCTCCTCCGTCTCAGGCATCATTCACCAAATGCTCACTGTCCAGGGGACAGCCACTGAGTTTTCAGATCAAAATAAAATATTTCTGTTGAAAAATATACATCAAAAAATGAGATCAATTTTAGCATGACGACTGGATAAACGTCTTGCAGATAGCATCTTAAACGAGGCCATCTTGATGGGACATGTCATTACTTGATGTGTCTCTGCCCTATCTTCGTACATTCCCCATGAAAGGTCACCGGTAAAAGCGACTTAATGCTTCCTAAAACAATTTGCATGCTGCTGACTAATATCTAAAAGATCAACATCACAACAAGCTCTGCATTCATCTGCTCTCAGTAACAAAAACAAGAAAAAAAATATTGACAGAAGCGGTCAAACTAATCTACTTCAAGTTCTAACTACATCACTACCCAGCAGCTAAAATGACCACCAGCTTCTACTCTAAGCCTAATTTGTACTAACCTGCTCACCTCAGGCCCTACAGCCCACCAGAGCAGATGAGACTTTAGAGAAAATAATCAGTGGGACTATAGTAGAGGCGTCTAGCGACCTCCTGACGCGTGTAGTTTTGGAGGATCCAGGCCTGTAAGGGACTGTTGTTACAGTACTCCACTGTGGGGCCGTAGGTGCCATCCTCCAGACGGCTGATGGTCAGACATGATTGGGTGATGATGTGGAGAAAGGTGTGCTTCTGTGGTGAGGCGGGATGAAAGGGGCAGATGGTGGTGAAGATAAGTGAGAGAGTCAACAGTTATTGTTAAATTTACCCACCTGTTCTGCTCAGCCATCTTCAAGAGATGAGAGTTCAATTTCAATTCAACTAGAAAAGGTGTGTTGTTTATTTGAGGTTTTCAAAACCTGGACTTAACAGCCTTTACATACAATTTAACAATTCTGCTGTAATATAATGAAATATTTCAAATATCACAGCTTGTGAAAGGAAAGCAGCACTGAGTTCATAAGAGACATAATATCTCAATCATGGATCTGTGTGAGGCACTAAATTCATAATCTTTAAACTAAAGCCACAGGATGTAACAATCAAAAAGGGGAAGCAAATATCAAAATATCTGAGCCAAATTTAAACTGACACAATTACCACATCAACAACTGCTAAAAACATCCTTAAAATGAGACATTCATCCATCATCAACCGCTTATCCTGCGCTTATCCCAGTTTACAATCTGTACAATGCAGATGAAAACATTTTTTTTTTACACTATAAAAGATTCGATGGGTAATACAAAGCAACTTTTATAACTGGTTATTGTCTGATTTGTCTCCCTTCCACACTTTAACCTTTTTTTCACCCATTTAAGATTTTAGCGGGAAAATTACATTAATTGTTTCTATTGTTGTATAGTACTGATTTTGACATATATTGTGTGTCTCATTTAAAGATGTTTTTTTATCAAGTATCAATGTGTTGACTTAAGAATTTGAAAAGGGTTTGAAATTTGTGTTGAGATTTGGCTCCCCCTGATTGGTTGATACAGCCTCTGGCTTTATGCCAGGTTAATGTCATACTGGAGTTATTGTAATTACGACTATACTATTTGTAAAGAGCATTCACATCATTCCCCAAGTTGTAATTATGACTGGGATAAACCGATATATCCAACTAGGCACTTAATGATGTGAAATTGCTCAACAACAAAACGCCTCACATCAGCCAAAGACAGTCATAATTAAACCTAATTTAATGGATATAACGTTATGTGTATTGTCAATGCACAGTATTTGAATTCTAAATTCAGCAGATTTCCCCATTTAAACTTAAACTCTGTGTGAGTAAGAGTAGGTGAATAAGTTTGACTGCCACAATGTATGTAACTGATATATTTGTGAGTGACTGCTGGACAGAGCAAAGTGAATGCAGCTTATTTCTGGCTGAAACAGCAGAGCAGGTTGAAAAAGAAGGAAGGCTGTCTGTCATGGTTGTGAATGAATACAGCAGGAATATGAAAGAGTCAGGTATTCTTGTGAAAGAGAAACTGGTGACCAGATGAAATGTTAACAGTACTGTAGTCACCCAGGATTCAAACTGTCTATCACACAAGGGCTAAAAATAACCTCGGCCACTGACAGCGGTAAAACCCCAGCCCGAGGCCGGTCCTCTTTGTTTATGAATTATTAATTTTTTTATATTAAGAAGGCACCCAGAGAACAAAGTGTAATGAAAGGATTTCTCCCAGGGTTTGTTCAGTTCATGATGGAAAGGCCTTGTCATATCTACATGTCAGTGATCTGACATCTTAATCACTGACAGGTAACATTGTATTCAGTGCAGCCTTTTCTAACCGTCTCCCAGTGGTTTAAAGCAAAATGCATGAATAGTTAATATAAAAGATGCTTTTTGAGTTGTATAATCCATAATGTACTTTGAGTTCTGAGTCAACAGAGCTTAGGGAGAATATTTTGGTTCTCTTAAGTGAATGAAAATGTCTTTCTGTTTTCCATTTAAGAGCCTGAAACATCTGTTTCTGCATTTTATTGAATATTGAAATTGTAAGACTATTACAGTTGCATAACCAGGAATATTAAGTAAAATGAAACAGTATTATGGCTTTGTCATGTATCTAATATTTGTTTTCATTTTGGTGCTACTCCAAATGAAAAAACTGTGACTCACTCACACATTTATATGTTGTGTAAATTTAATAGTGTCTTGCCGGAGTGTGTCTTACACGCTGGTCTGCAATGTACCACGCAGTATAAAAATGCATTAGGATTATTTGTTATTTGTTTTTCAGCCTCGTCACAGTTATAATTTCTCAGATATTAAGTTGGCTTTATTAGCTCATTACATTTGGTTTACTTCTATAGACTGGCCATCAAGTTGAATGGTTGTACTACATGATTTGGCCACTTATAGTTAGATCTTTAAGTGGCAGATACAGTAGGTTAATGCTGAGTGAATGCACAAGTCTCTAAAACAGTTTATAACCTTATGAAGGAAGAATTAATTACATGGCTGTATTAGACTGCATTAGATTTAAATGATCTATTCTAACAACCATTGACACTCCACAGTCCACACAGTGTTACAGGATATCATGAAACTGGAACCACGGGACTGAAACTATGGGGCAATACTCAGGAGCGATGATTTGAAAAGCTTACCTCAAAATCATATTCCCACTTGCCAACATACTTGTGAAAGGAGAAAATATGAAAGGAGAGACACAGCTGCTTGGTAAGGAAAGCAACTCAACTTCTGTGCTGCTAAAAACACTGACATACAGCACCATCTGGTGGCAGCAAACAAGTACTTAATTTCCAACTTTGCAGCATTCTGCACCACTGCACAGCAATCTCCTCGTGACAAACACATCAATATCATCAATCAGCATTTCATCAAAGTCATTTTTCAAAACATCAGCCATCAGGAAGCAGGAATGGCTGCCTGAAATAACAGATTACAGGGCTACTATAAGAATCCTACCTCAGCATCGTACTCAAACATCTGATTGCCCTTCATGTGGTGACACTTGAGCATGACGACAGGTCCGTTGAGGCGGGAGACATCCAGACAGAGGTCATCTGTCCTAATTTCTTTATCCGCCGTGTATGAGAAAACCTGAAAACAAGATGTCACACTAAGGTCATAAAAAACATTAGCAAGGCCAACATTATCCATCATTTTGCATTCCAGAAATGTAAAATATGATTGTGTTTAAAAGTGCTTTTGATGATATGTGAACGATTTGCACATCTTTATTCTTTTATTTTGATCAACAATCAATTTCTTCATGATTTGCGTTGTGAACCTAATTCAGATTCAGAGTATATACTGTGCAAGGTGTTTTTAGTGCTTTCTACAGCTACAATGTTTAACTCCTCTTTTTAAGCTATACGCAATGCCCCATAATGAGAGTTGTAAGGACAGAAGGAATAATTGATTAGACTGAAATGCAGTTCAGTTCTTGGCACAAACCTTCAAAATTTGCCTAAGACCTCACAATGACCAGAACATGGAGCCAATTCAACTTCGACTTTAGAGTGAAAAAGAAAAACTTGGCAAAAACCCAAACTTTGTATTGAAAATCTGTGTTGGCAATTCACACACACTCAGCATCCAACTTGATTGAGCTGAAACTTTCTAGCAAAGACAAAATCCCAAAGCTCATGTACCCAAGACAAAGAAGAATCAATGGCTAGTTTGGTTCAATGTTCATTTAAAAGAGATTTGTTTTGTACATTCTGTTTAAAACACTTCAATAATGTTTCTAAAAGCATGTTTCCAGTTAGTGTTTATAGGACACTGTGCGTGGGTACTTTAAAAACTGAATCCAAACCAGAAACGTTAAAAAGTATGTGTACTTTTTCCCCTCACCTGGTTTCCACCCATGCCGTGACAGTTGAAAAAGCCAACTTTCTCGTTCTCCTTTCTTCCCATGTTGTCCACACACTGGTTGGTCTCCACATTTCTGATCTATAAGCGGGAATTCAAATCAAAAGAATTAGTAGCTACTTTAACTGAAATGTGAAATTAACTTCCTCTCTCTAGTTTGGCTTTTTCATACTAGCAATTTATCAACTCGATTTTCACAACTCAAAACATATATGGTCAAACCTTTGCAAATCTTGCATTTCAAACTTTGTAATTGTATGTTTTCAAATCTAAACATTCTTATTGTCCATATTGTAAATGAATCTAGGGATAGAGATAAAATAGAGACAGATAAAACCCCTTAAGACAAATGTGTGATTTCTGATATTTGGCTGTATAAATAAAACTGACTTGACCAACCTATGTTATCACTTTCTTGAGTTTAGAATTTGTACGGCAAAGTTTACAAAGTTTACACAGTGTATTCTAATAATACCAGGGACCCCAGGCTACATGTCCATCTATTTGTTATTTTCAATGCCAAACAGAAGCCAGTCAGGTCCTGCTGAATATTTCTCATTAAAAATCAATCATCTTTTCTTCACCCTCTTTTTCTGTTAGTGTTCATTGCAGTCCTCCCATTTATTGCTTCTGTTTCAGAATAACCTTTTAGCATTACACACAGATTTCTTATTATCTGTATTTTGGGGGTTTTTACATAGAGCTGAAATAATTCTGTTAATGTATTAGTTGATCGACAAACTTTTTAATCTGCAACAATTTTAAAGTCAGTTAACAGTAGTTAGCATTTTTAGTGTAAACATTTCCATGTTCCAGATTTTCTTTTCTTTGTCATGTATGATAGTTAACTCAATATCTTTGGGATTTGTACAGCTTGTCGGATAAAACAAGACATGTGAAGACCCTAAATGTTACTCTGAATGTCACAACTGATCTAGCTGGCTTCAATGAAACCAACTGACACAGCTTGCTGTTTAAGATGCACATGCTGAAGTTGTATCTTGATGACACACAAGTCACAGCCACAGTGTTGTGGAAGCTTTCTTTACATAAAAAGTGACGTTATTCAAACCACAAGCTTTCTCTCATTACTCAGTCAACAACTGTGACTAGCGATTAATTTGATCAAAAAAATGCATATTATTTCTTATTATGTCTTTCTGCCTGATTCCACAAGAATTTCAAGATATACGTTTAAATCAGTAATCAAAAATATTAATTAGCAGCTATTTTGATGATCAAATAATCTAGTTATTTTAAATGCAAAAATGCCAAACATTTCCCGGTTCCAGTTTCTTCAATGTGAGGATTTCAAGCTTTTCCTTGTCATACTTCATGGTGGTCCAGTGGATAGCACCGTAGCCTCACAGCAAGAAGGTTGCAGGTTCAAACCCAGGTTGCCCCTGCCTTTACATGTTCTGCCCATGTCTGCAGAACAGGTTTCCTCTGTGTGTTCCACCAAAAACATGTTAGGTTCTCCTGTCAGTGTTATTGACTGGTAAAAAATTCTGGAGTTGGTCCCTGCTGCCCACTGCTCCCTTGAGGGATGGGTTAAATGCAGAGGATAAATGTCACTATGTGCATGTGACAATAAAGAAACTTCTTCTAATTTGTAAACTGATTATCTTTGGGTTTTGGACTGTTGGTCTGACAAAGCAAGACAAGATGCCGCCTTAGGCTCTGGAAAATTACAACTTTGGGACAAAATGATCGACAAAGTAATCGATAATGAAAATAATCATTAGTTGTATCCATCTTGTGTCCCCATCATCTTCACTTTAAAGCTGAAATGGATAAGTGATCTGACTGCACAGCCGCAGTAACCCCTGCTACTGTACCACAGCTTCTACGGACTTTCCAGTCATTTCTGCTTTCTAATGAACTTGTACATTCACATAGCTGGCTCTATACAACTTATTATGCCTATCATGCAGGAGCAGAATGGTACGCATAATTAAGTGATAAAACCTAATGTTTCAAGCTGTTAAAGAAAGGCTGACTGTGTGTCATGGAGGTGAGAATAAGTCAGGAGAAGTCTGGGGTGCTGCAGTAGCTAAAGAGAGAGGGAGAGAGAGAGAGAGAAGCTTGTACTGCAGTACAGCAGAGCAGCACAGGTGAAAAAAAAAGTCCTCTCATCCTCAGCTGTATGAATGTTGGAGGATTACAGGCTCATTTCACCATGAGTTCTTCATCTGACATTACTTTTAAATTGCCATCTATCATGCAAGCAGCACACTGCATGTCGACACTGACTTTACCTCATGCTGAACTGCTGCCATCTCGGAGCCGTGAGCATCACATCAAGAGGCAAATTCAGGTCACTTAAAAAAAATCTTTTTTTGCATGAGGGGGAACGAACTAATGAGAGGAACTTGAACTTCTATTATCTCAAAACAATTAACTATGAATTCTCACGTCTGAGCTGCAAATTATCCCACAGTTTCACAATCCCTTTTTAGTTTCTAAGAGAACTACTTTGCATGTTTCATCTTCGCCTGTTAAAGTAATCATCTGGTGAAAAATGTCGTCAATACTTTAATTTTTAGAAGAGGGAATAAATATGTTCATGACAAAATTCACAACTTGCTGATTAACAATTTATATCCCTGTGTGACAGAGATTCTGAGAAACACTTTTTTGTATTATGAAGTCCATTTTTGCTCACTAAGTACAACACAAAACTGTGTCATGAGTATACACAAGCCTTATCTCACCTACCCAGCCTGCATAGCATAGCTGTATAAACATGTGACTGGGATCAATACTGACTACACGAACAACCCCTTGTTTGTTTATTGTACGCGTTCAATACAAGCGGCTGGGGATGTTTGTTTTTATCTCATTTTTGTTCGGTCTTTGCTGGATCCTGAGATTTTCTGATTTATCTTGCAGCGATGTTGTCTTTCTGAGAACACAACCCAGAAGTTACCAGGACATATCTGACTGAATGCAGAGGGAGGCTGTGTATCTGCTGCATTACGGGAGATCAGAGTTACGAGAAAGCTCATACTTCACCAAGTGAGTAGTATCTCCTCGGGATCTGGGAGTCTGGGTAGACGTTCTCTAGATACCAGGAAAACGGTTTGCACCGCAAGGCCTCACGGAGGGCTTTACGGGATGAAACGTCTCCGTAGTCCACCCGCATCACGCCTGTAGAAAAAAAGGATTCAGCCATATGTATCACTGAACATCATCAAGTCAGTATTTGCATTTTGAAATAGAAGGAAAGAGCTGTTTTCTTGCACCACAAAGACTAAACACCAGAGGGACCCTTTATAAAAAAAATTTTTTAAAAACACCTTACAATCTTCCTGAAAAATGGACTACTGTCTGTGGGTGGTCGTGGAAGGATTTTCTATTTAGTAATGCATAAATGACCTAATTTCTTCAAAGAGGGCATGTGAATCAAATCCCATTTATACACAGTGTATTGCTAAATGCAACGCATCTCCTTCAGAAATGTACAAACGCAACAACTGTGGAATAGCGTGTGCCATGACGTATGTTATTTTAGCCAAACAGAAACCGCATGATCTATCAGCCTGGTTGCAACTTAAGACTGAGGACGGATTAGACAGCGACTGGGCACAGACACTTACACACACATTAGACAGATGGTTTCTTCCCAGAGTGCTTCTTGAGGACTGCATGAGCATGTAGACAGATCCACTGTGGTCATTTATCACGAAAGAGCTGACGATTGCAATAAGGAAAATAGAATATAATTTTCTATAATACCAACTAACATATAAGACCCGCAGCACTGTATATTTATCCATCAAGCATTAGCCAGACAATGCAATATTTCTGTAATACCATCAACGTCTTATACTTTAATCTGTGAAATAGGCATTTCAGGTTGGCAGATAAAAGCTATGAGCTGAAGGCCACCCTGGCTCTCTTCTCTCTCCCTCTCTGTAGTTTCTGAGCATTGCAGAAGTGAGGTCTGGCAACAGTGTGGCCCAGATCATTCCCTCTAATGTCCTGGAGGAACAGACAGTCATTGTGTGGCCAAAATATGCACAAAGACTCATCCATCACAACCCCCCAGCTCTGTCTGAACACCTGCCCATGCTGAATCTTGCCTGACAGAGTAGAAGGTCACAATTTGTGCCATAAGATCAGCAGATTACAGATGATCCCTTATAGGTTGGCTGGCATCTAAAACACTTAACCAGAGATTTCCGGGACCCTGCCGTCTGCTGAAGGGTAATCACATTACTACTTCGACAGATGGAGGGGTACTCATCTCTCAATCTGCACAATCCTGTTCTAGTTTGTCCATGTTTGTTTGAGCTGTGCTGGAGAGAACACCATCTTAGACAAATTTCTGACCTTGAGTTCAGAGGAGCGCTAAAAGAAATGTGTCTGAAAGTAGGAATTAATTAATCCCAGTTTGGAGATGACAAAGGTAGCATTAAATTCCAATATGAGACAGAGTGTAAAGAGAAATGAACTCCCAAAATGAGCAAGATAAAGTGCCATGCAAGGGAATGAAATAATAAGAGAGCAGACAAGTCTTTCCCTTTCACACCAATTTGCTAAATGTAATATCAGCAAGCACGTAAGTAGCACAGAGGGGTCTGGTCATAGGGATTGTTCATATCTGCTTTTGAATAGCAGTGCACAATGAATAAAGCATGAACTCAAGTATTGACTGCACTACATATTCGCTGAAACATTTAACTTTTAACATGCACAATTCATACCATTTTGTCGTCAACATGTGATTCTACTATTCCGGTGGCAGAAAGATGCAGTCAGACAGCTCTGTACCTGGTGATATGATATAGAAGAAATCTTTGAAATCATCCATCCAGACTTCCGCCAGGCGCCTGTTGTTCTTGTTGATGACTTGGCCCGTTCCTCCAGGGAAGCTGTATGGGGTGGCCTTCCGGAAAACATGGCCCACGTGCGAACATGTTACAATTTCCAATGAGCCACCGCACTGCCAGATCTGCAAACAAATGCAGATTTACACAGTATATAATACAGTCAATACAAATGTATTGAACATTGTCTGAATGCCAGTCCCTATATTTGATCGTTCCTCACTCCTTGATCCTCAGATAACCTAGAAATTGATCAAATCGGTCATCAATTCTGCAAGCAAGGAGGATTAAGCAAGGAAAAAAGACCATGGTACGACACACTGTTTTACAGGAAATCTGTTTGTGACTGAATGCTGCAACAGATTGGCCTGCTTTGAAGCAGCATCGCCGCAAGTCATATTATTCCCAATATCTACATTTTGTGTGTTTTCGTATTCTACATCTAGTTATGAAAATAGTTGATATGTGTTAACTGTAGATCTGATTAAGATGGACAGCCTAAAACAGTAAAAATAGGTTTTTAAATATTTAAAAACATTAGGAGATGTCGAATACTAAATAAGGAATTTCTTAATTCATAAAATATGTGAATAAATAAGTGAAAAAATGAGTCATGTGCATGTCTGAGCAGTGAAGTTCACTAACAAATAGTTCTCTCACTAATCTGCACACAGTCTAAACTTTTGAAACAGTTGCAAATACAAAACATGTAGAAACTAGTGTGTCACATTTCTTAATCTGTTTTATCTTGTAGGAAAAAATCTAGAAAAAAAAAACAATTGCGCTTATATTGGTTACTGTGCACTTATTTGGACAAAACATTCTATCATACAATTATGGGTCACCAGAAACTGACGTGGCTTCTAATTTCATTAAACATGTATTTCGAAGACTCCTCTTTCCTTGCATCTTTTCCTGGAATCTCTCTCTGGAATCTTTAGTCGAAGGGATTGAATAAAGAGATGCAAGTCAGGGAAATGTGGATATAATAAATGCAGTTGGCGTGTACCCATTAACCAAGGCTGGTGACGTTATAACATCGTGATAGCATCCCTCCCTGGTCTATCACTCACTCTAAAAGACATTTCCAGGTTTTCTCCGCCCCAGATGTCCATCCCTGGATCGTAGCTTCCTAATTCTTCAAAGTTAGTTTTGTCTATAGAGAATAATCCTCCTGCCATGGTGGGAGTTCTGCAACAGACACACAACAAATTAAGACAAAAAAAATAATCAATTTGCAATATATTACGTCTCTTTGTGCTGCTTATTAGCATCTTAGTGTAACTTTGAGGAACATTTGCAATATAATTAGACCAATTTGTTTGAAAATTTGAAACAAAGCCTTTGAGGAGTAATTACTTTTATCTTTTAATTCATTCCATGTTATAGTCGGCCCCTTCATTAAGGATACTATTTGTTGCTGGGAGTGATTTGCATACAGATGACAAACTGCGCTTAGCTTTTGTGTAGCCAAATACAGGACAAATGTGAGCAGAGCTTCTATTTTTCTATTTTTAAATTAAATGAGCTCCCAACTAGCAGGGTGCTATTTAGGCAGTTGCTTGCATCAGGGAGATACACAGACGAAAAGGATCTATTTCTGTCTGCAGATAAAAATGGCACTTTTCATAAGAGGAGTTCCTGTGAAGAAATCTAACTATCTATGACTTCTCTGTGGCATGCTGCCATCACAGATAAACCCATTCTAATGAGAAACCGAGAACTAACGTCTGACTGAACTTACAAAAACTGTCTCTGTTCATTCTTCTTAATCAAAAAACACAAAACACTACACAAGTTCAAGGTTTGTCACACAATTCCCTGAAAAATTATCTAGATTTATCTTCAGAGGAGAAGGAAACATTGACTTTGTGTACCTGACAGGAAGTGTTCTGTCCCCCTTGCGTCGATCCATCTCCCGCTGGGGAACAGGGTACCAGCGGAAGTTCAGCTTCCAGTTGAAACCGCCATAGGTCATATCTGAGCCTGCCATGTATTCAAACGTCTCGTCGCTGATGACATCAATGATAGGGCACACCACTGCTGTCCTGCAGCACATACAAAACACATTCAATGTCGAGATAAATTACACAGTAAATGTAGGCTTGCTAAAAATTCAAAACATTTAATGCATACAAGCAAGGCGTGGTGATGTAAGTTTTATTCATTTGACCACAAAACCTAAATAAAACAACCTACTCACTCAAAAAGAGAGCAAATCAGGTAATGGTAAGTATTTTAAATGTTTGACCACAGTGCTGACCACACTAATGATTATTTACGTTACTGATTAATCTGATTTATTTTTAAGAATCATAATGAACAGAAACCACTGGAGGGTTTGCAATCAGCTGAATGTTCACTTCTGAGATAAATTTTCTGTTTGACTAATCGGTTAATCATTTAACTAATCAGGTCTCGACAACACCACATTACTTACTATAGTTTATTTGCTCCAGCATCAATAAAAGTAGCAAAATAAACTCTGCATCTGATGGCATTTTCAAGCTGCCATCAGATTATTAGGGAAATATTTTTGAATCTTCGTTTATTGACTTCCAAGTGTATCATAATATAATAACGCCATTCATGCTTCAGTTATAATTAATGAAACAACATTCTGAACACATCTGCCGGATTCTGATACAGTACATATCAATATTGGACAAAATGTTAATATAACAGATCTAATACTATATACCTTATGTCTGCACCAATACTTAAACATGACATAAAGACGCCAATACATCCGCAGCAGCTTGCAGTAAAGTGTAATGGCTCCATAATATAATATTCTCACTCATATGATACTGATTTCTTCCTGAGGGACAAATGAATGTGTCTGATCTCAGATAAAAGATGGATCGCAATAGAATCATTTAATCCAGCAATCCATCCATCGGCTAATGTCACTCTCTCTCTCCCACACACACACACAGCAGATACACACACGTTTGTTTTTAACAACCAAGAAGTAAAACCTAAAATAATATTTGAATGCTCATAATAAATAACAGAAACCAAATAAACACTGTGTCACTTTAAATGAATACACTTGGCTTAACAACTGTAAAAACACCCTAAGCTGAAGAAAAACATCTCCTGTTCAGCTGGGCCACGTCATATTTGTCCCCAGACATGTATCAGTTGTAGCTAGAATACATGTCCTTGTCCACTTTAATCTCGACTTCATTGACATCTGCTAGCACCAGTCGTAGCAGAGTTAACACAAAAACAGAGCTACAGTAATTGAAGTTAGCTTTCCCTTTGAGGAAGAAGCAGACAATGGAAAATTATTATCTTCTCCTATCAGCAGTGCCAGGCTCAAACAGTGTATTTATAACTGATAGTTTGCTTTCCCATCAATATCAAGAGGGCGCTTTGGCTCAAGCACTCAATGATGCAACTTAAGTGAAATGTGATAATATCAGTATTAATAAAGGCATGTCTCAGGACTGAATAGGCAAATGATTAAAATGATTGACAATGAGAAACTCATTAGTGCCATAACAACTGCTCCTGAAAAGGAGTCAGTAATTCACATCAGCTTCTTAAATTTCATTAAGTGCGGCCTATTTAGCTCCTACCTGTCCTCTTTGATGCGTGCCAGAAGGGGCTCCAGCCAGCCGACAGTACACTCACAGTGAGCGTCCAGGAAGGTAATGACCTGACCTTTTGTGGCGGCCGCACCCCTCAACCTGGCTCTGATTAGACCTGAACGCTGCTCCATCCTCAGGATCCTTACTGGCACCTCCAGAGTCCGCGCATAGTTCTCCAGCTTTGTCTTCAGGAAGTCTGAAACAAACCAGCAGACAGAAAATTAATCGATATGTATTTTTTAAACAAAAATCTGAGCCTGGTTGAGAGTTTTGTGTCCCATATTGTTAACATTGTTCATCAGCCTACTTGAGTTCAGCATGTCCATCCTGTATCCTTGACTACAGAGTTAAACCTGTGTCTGTTGTATATTACATACTGTACATTTTGTGAAATGCTTATTGGCTAGAGAGTGCAGACCACCAACCTCGCTCGCTGGCATCATCGACTAACACGATCTCCACAAGCAAGTGTCTGGGAGAGCGGTTGATCACGCTGTGAACTGTCCGCAGCAGGGTGCTCCATGCCTCGTTGTGAAACACAATCACAATGCTGGTGTTTGGCAGGTCGTCTGGGTACACCTTGGTTTTACAGCTGATAAAGGAAAAGCAAAAAATTTAATTTAAACTGAATCAGTAAAGTAGAAATGTTCAAAAGGAAAGTCAGGCAAAAAAGATTATTTCATGGTCTATTAGAAAAAGCTTTTAATTATTTCCCTAAAAAATTTAGAAAGATTCAAAAATAAACAGAAAGTTTTATTATTTACTCATCTGTTTAGACTACACCAATAACAGACTAGAATAACAATTAACTAACTCATATTGAAACAATAAATTTATTTGTGTTGATTAAAAGAGCAACATTTTTGTCTTTTATATTAATCCTTTAATCCAGAAAATCCCAAAAATTTGCTGCTTAGAGCTTCTCAGATGCTAAATATTTTAACTGAAAATGGATGTTCCAGTACACACCATTTGATGGTCATTTGTAAGAATTATAAATTTTCTGTAGACTAAATAAGTAATTAATTCTATAAAATGTAAGTCACCAAAAAATAACATCATTAGCAGCAGCTAAACTAAACTTAATTGAGACTAATGTGAAACCTGAACATAATCACTTATAATCATATAATCCTTCTACCTACCAAAAACAAAAACATTGGTGATGTCATGATACACTGGTCTAAAGCTACAGTGTTTTTCCAAGCTCATAGTGCTTCTCTACGCCTGCGGCTCATTATATCATATGAATATTGTCTGAGAAGAGAATTTCAGTGTGTCCTGCTGCTATCCAAAGCTGCCATCAGGGCAAAAACATTGTCATTTGAGATTTACTGACAAATATGTCCAAAGAAAGTAGAAACAGTAAAACCAGTGCTGACAGCTATGTCAGCATGTCCTTGGCTTGATGGGATGTCTGTCAAATCCAAAGAGTGAGAATGTGGCAAACGTGGGACAGCGCTGTAGTGGATGATGTTGAATAAAGAATGAGCTGCGTTACAGGAGCGGAGGAGGTTGACGGCCAGGGCGGGAGGGGGAAGTGGGAGGTGACAGAGGGTGAACCAAGCGGAGCAGACAGCATTGCTAGTTCAGTGCAGTCTATTCAAAGTGACAGCACTGTCTGACACAACTAGGCCAGGAGGTTGCCTTAAAGACAAAATAGTGGTCCACGCAGAGGCAACAACTGGCAATTCTGCATTGCTCTGGATAATTTTCACCACATAGCTGGTGACATTTTGCAAGGCTAAGCTGTGCTCTGTAATACAGCTGCTGTAATATTTATATTGAGAAAAGGATGGAGCCATAATGAACAGAAAAACTAGAGTAGTTGCAACCAGCTGAATGTACAATTTATCTCAGTAATGTAGGTCTTCTTTTTCACTACGCAGGCAAAAAGATCCTTATATTTGCATCTCCACGTTGCAAAAAAGTCTTGAGTTGGCATTTTCATGGTATAGGTAAAACTGGGGAACGTAGGTGTGGCCTATTTCTCATGGTGTATCTGACTGGCAGAGCCTTTGGTATCCACTTAATGAAAGTGCTGCTTAGAAGTCGTGTTCAGTTGGAATATTTAAACACGAATGGCTCAGATAATGTCTCCACAAGAGGCAAATGCCGGTGCGTATCAGCAGCCAGAGACAAATGTGCTCATGTTTCACACAAATTGCTCCTTGGATTTTCATTAAGTGCTCAAGTGGATCTTGAGTGACAGTAAACAAACCTTGCTCCCATTCAAATGTCAAGCCTAATGTACACACTTGAGGGATCTGATGGATTCTGCTTTGAAACAGCGCCCATAATTAGAGATGTCTTTTCACATTACATACAAAGTTATTAAAAACAATTAAAATTTAATGGACTTAACAAACCATTTAAAAATGACTGTAATAATCAGAACAACATTGCCTTGATAGTTGGAGCATTTCGTCTCAGCATTTCACCGTCTGAATCACTGTTGAGACTTTTTGACAAGAGGAAGAATCCCTTCTGCCTGGAGCCACTGAACACATTTGTCTGAATACTGGAACAGTTCTAGCGAACCCAACATTAAAAGTCTACACCACATTAAGGAGTGAAAAAACCCAAAGAAATAAAGAAGCAAAAAGCAGAAAGGACCAGCCAAAAGGTCAGCTGTTTGATAAAGAAACCGCGGTGCCTTGCAATGTGCGATAGGTATCAAAGGTACCAAGGTTTGCAGGCAGCGGAGGAGTAGAGTGAAGACTGTGCTATGCTGGTCTGTTGGTGGTGTGTGGGGGGTGTGTGTGTGGTGTGTGTGTGTGTGTGTGTGTGCACTTACCAACCTATCTAACAGTGGACCTCGACGTCGTTACACACCCACTAAGAGGGGACTAAAAAGTGAACAGGGGACATTTTTAGGTCCCCTGTTGGACATGCTTTAAATCAGCTAAAATCATGTCTAAAACCATCTGGTAAATTTTTTAAACTATTGTCAAGAGGGGACCTGCAGGTGTGTGAGTGTTTAAGTCCATACTCAGCAGTGCCTCTAGTGGATCAAGCAAAGATTTTAACGACTCATTCACACACGTCGTTCTTAACACTCCCCTATAGAGTGAATGGCTTGCAGCCCCAGGGAGTCTATCAGACTGTAGAGGGGCTATTATACAAGCTACTCAGTAAAGAAAGCTGTCTCTTGAAACACAATTTCTTAATTTTTTCTAACAAAATATACAGGCTGAGTTTTAGTCGATGTCTTGTGTTTTAAGATCAACATGTATTAAAATACAGGGCTACACTGAAGGCCTGGAGAATTTTAGATTCTAAATAAGGGAACAAAAATAGAAAAACAGCCAGGGTAGAATTATAAATAAAATGGTCAGTATAAAATACTTTTATGGTTTTAATTCATATAAAAAAGAATGAATTAATAAAAAATTATTTGACATTTGTTATCTAGAGATTTTAACTTGTTCAGTCGCAAAATACTAACCTGACCAGATTTCACAAGCACTGGACATCAATATTTTTTTTCCCCCCAATATTTGTGTGCTTAGTCTACATAAAGATATGCATTTCATTTATGATTGAATTACAGAAAAAGGGACCACACTTGTACTGTGTGGAACGACAGGAGTCCACTGTTCGCTTGTAGATGATGACACAAGTTCCCTCTTAGATAGCATGGAGCGATAATCACTCCAACTTGTGTGAAAATAATAAATAAGCAAATTTAATCATACTTTTGAGACAAAAAAACTAACTAAATAGTCCTTTATTTTCTATACATTCTTTTAAAACAAAATATAAAGGCTGAGTTTTAGTGGATGTCTTGTGTTTTAAGATCAACATGTATTAAAATAAAGGGCTACACTGAAGGCCAGGAGAGTAAAATGAATTGTAGATTCTAAAAACCGGAACAAAATAGAAAAACAACCAGGTGAATTAGAAATAAAATGGTCAGATAAAGATACTTTCTTCGGTTTTAATTAATTTAAAAAAGTATTAATTAATAAAAAATATTTGACATTGACTAGAGCTTTAAACTTGTTCTGTCCTCCCAATACTAACCTGGCCAGCTTTCACAAGCACTGGACATCAATACTTTTTCATTATATTTGTGTGCTTAGTCTACACTTAAAGATATGCATTTGAATTACAGAAAAAGGGACCACACTTGTACTGTGTGGAACGACAGGAGTCCACTGTTCGCTTGTATGATGACACAAGTTCCCTCTTAGATAGCATGGAGCGATAATCACACTCCAACTTGTGTGAAAATAATAAATAAGCAAATTTAATCATACTTTTGAGACAAAATAAACTAACTAAATAGTCTCTTATTTTCTATACATTCTTTTAAAACAAAATATAAAGGCTGAGGTTTAGTGGATGTCTTGTGTTTTAAGATCAACATGTATCAAAATAAAGGGCTACACTGAAGGCCTGGAGAGTAAAATGAATTGTAGATTCCAAAAAAAAGGAACAAAAATAGAAAAACAACCAGAGTTGAATTATTAATTAAATGATTAGAGGTAAGATACTTTCTATTCAGTTTTAATTAATTGTTAAAAAGTATTTCACATCAGACTTTGACTACAGCTTTAAACTTGTTCAGTCCTAAAACACCAAACTGACCAGTTTTCACAACCACTGAATGTCAATACATTTTGTCATCATATCTATGTGCTTAGTCTACACTTACAGAAATGCATTTTATTTATTGATTTGAATTACAGAAAAAGGGACCACACTTGTACTGTGTGGAACGACAGGAGTCCACTGTTCTCTTGTACATGATGACACAAGTTCCCTCTTAGATAGCATGGAGCGATAATCACACTCCAACTTGTGAGAAAAAAATAAATAAGCAAATTTAATCATACTTATGAGAAGAAACTAATTACAGAGTGTTTATTTGGTATAATCTGTTATTGTAAGAAAATATAAAGCCTGAGTTTTTATTGAAGTTATTTTCAACAAAATACAAAGGCTGAGTTTTAGTGAAATTCCTAAATTGTTTCAAGCTTCAGACTACTAAAATGATAGACTACCCAGTAGACAGCAGAATGAGTATTTTAAAAGCACAAAAAAAGTGAAAGTAAAAACAAAATGAATACAAAGGTCAGCTGCAAGATCTCTTAATTTTTAATCAATGGATTTAATGCTGTTAATTATCATGATACATGACCAGTGTTTGTATGTGTCCTAAATCTATATTTAGGAAGTTGTTGCTCGCAAACACATTGACAACAGACCTGTCTGTCAATTGAATAGTTAGTTTCCTAAACACCGCTGCACAAATCTATCCAACACAATGTTGTCAATGTCGGAGACCCACCTTCAAAAAAGTTATCAGCAAGCATGTAAGGAGCCTAGCTAATAAGGATAGCTATGTTAGTTTTAGAATACAGCTGTCAAAGTTAGAACGCTGTGCATAACTGGTAGTCAGTAGGTGTGGCCGAGATGAGCTACTTTTGTACAGTTGAAATCACATCATGTCGAAACTAAAGTGTGAAATGTTGAAAAGGTTAGTTTAGCTACAAATGAACAAGTTCATATGTGCGTGTTTAGGTTTTATGATGTGGTAATTAAGGGGCTAAATGAAGCCTGTCTCTGAAAAATTGAAAATCTTTC